CCAGGACAAACTAATAATGATGTTGATGACAATAATGATGATGCTTTAGTGAAAAAGAATAAAACAAAGTGCAGAGAAGAAATGAAAAAAAATCAAAAGAATAACAAGTGTACTCTTGAAAAATTACTCAAATTACGTGAAGCGCACACACAATCATATAAAACAAAAATGTCTTTTCTCAAGAGTGTATCATATTTGCACATATATATTTATTTAAGCAAACCCTCATAAAAACACGCGCAAGACAGATAAATTTTAAATGTAATGAAAAACGTGGGCCGAACAAGAGAAAAACACCTTGAACGCAAAAAATTATATTTTGTTTATTTTTTTATATGCAATATATATATATATATATATATATATATATATATATATATGTGTGTGTGTGTGTGTATGTATGCATGTGTGTATTATCGCGCGTATATTTGTATTTCAATTGTACGCTGATTTTTTTTTTTTTTTTTTTTTTTTTATAAAGGGAGAAAAAAAATTTAAAAAAAAAAAAAAAAAAATCTTTGTATACGTATCGACACACACATACATGGATGCAGTTGCACATACACATGCTCGTTTAAATTGAGTAAGTGAATCTGCTGTAAATGCAACAATAAAGACGGAAATAGTGAGGCAAAGCGAACGCGTGCGGTACACGGCTTGAAGCGAACGTTAAAAGAAGAAAAAGGTTAAACGACGGTTTCATGCTATGCGCTACGGGTCGCAAACTTCTATATCTAAAATCCATGAATGAAAAGAATAAAAAAATAAACGGTGAGGGTGTGCTTATATTAGGACAATACATCTATATATGTATAGAGTACTATTATTGAAAGAAAAAAGTTTTTGAAAATATTATAAAAAAATATGAAAATCAAATGGAAAAAAATAAAGAATCTTAAGTACATTTAAGTCAGTCAGTCATTAAGCGTAACATATACTAAAAATACATTTATGTAATGAGGAAGATGAGTTTTTCTGTTTTCCTTTTACTTCCTTCTTTGTTCTTCAAGTACATTTGCAATGAACATCAAATTTTTTTGTGCTAGAAACGGAGAAAACAATTGAATTCCATTTCGTATACTTTCTCTGCCATAGTGGATCGCGCAATAACAAGTATACGTAAGAATGGACAAAGCCACAAACAAATAAAATGCATTTAAGGTCAGATAGATCAAACGTTCGGACGACTACATGCCAAATTTGATACCACATGAGAGGTTAACGCTTATTTGCCAATCATTGAAAGTAAACAACTTTATTTATATCATTCACTATGAAAAAATGTGTGTGGTTTTCATTAAAAACTATTTCTCGAAAGGAAAGCCACCAAAAGAAACTGACAAAGAGAACCAGACCATTCAGATAATACGATGATTAGATACTGGATGACTGAACCTAATAGTGAAAAAGTCTCTGATAAAATATTGAAGGACTCAAAATTGAGAGAGACAGCTACACTTCTGCACGGGATAATAAGGTAGAAATCTTCAATCATTATTGTGAATCGATGCGTGTTCGCGAACATTGAAAACAATTAGTTATAGCACTGTCACAAAATATTTGTTTCTGCATGGGTAGAATCTTTCAGTAGCGGAATTAAAAATGCCGCCATCGTCGCTTGAATAACGATAAATGTTGCCCACTGTTGAAAACTTTGAACTTTTTGTCGAATATAATTTTACATATGATACTTCGCCGTACTGTGTGGGCGTTTTATGGCACCGGCACGTACTTTTATGCGTAGGATATTGACATCAGTGAAGCTTCTCTGAGCCATGTATCGCGCCATCTTCGAATTAAATTCAATTTTTGCAAATGTGCAACTGTTACCTTAAGGAGAACAGCAGGTTTCCCTATAATTTCCGTAAGCTGTTATCTAACAATTTCTCTGAAGAGTCATGGCGCCTGCCAAGTCACTTGAACGCATCCGTATTACCGTAAAAAGGAAACATAGTAATTTCTAATAGAAGAAGAAATTTGTTTTGAGTTTTCGACTCCAAACTTCCAAATTAAACGTGGGCGATAATGTCTTACTGTATAATGTAAGAAAAAATCCATCCTTTGTTTTTTTTTTTTTTTTTTTGAAACGGCCAGTCAGGGAGGGAATATGCTCTGTGCGTATAATAAAGCGATTGTCGGAAAGACGTAGAAAAAGCAGGAAAGGGATAGAGAGTGTAGTCGCATCTTAGTGAAGGTGTGCGCAATCGGTAAGTGTAATACATTACATCCACTATAACTGGACTGGCCATCCACTATAACTACGAGTAAGTATGGTCAAACCGCACTGAGATTTGAATCCGTGAACATTGAGTTTGAGATCCCTATTCTCAACCACTTGGCTATGCAGCGAAATGTGAAGTGCTATCAGGTTGTTCAGAAATTTATTGCGGTTTTACCCGAAATCCGGAACTAGACAGATAATTAGGGTTAATAGTATATATAGGTATATAGCGCAGACTTATGTTTACTCTGTATAATAGTTATACGTAATTTTTACAATGGAAGTTCAAAGTGAGCGTATAAGCGTATATGTTGCCTTCTTATTTCGAAAAAAGGTGAAAAAGCATCAGGAGCTCATAAAGAAATGTGTGCTGCGTATGGAACTAATACTGCATCAGACCGTTTTTTTTAAGTACATTACTTAATAAAGTGAAAGCTCTGATGGGATTTATCAAACTTTGGTCGCATGAGTTTAACGATCCTGCCGATCGCTGTTGCTTACCGCACTTGTTGGACAGAGTTTCATTGTTCTGTGCTCTCCGTTAGATTAATTCGAGTCTGCGCAAAAAACTCTTAAAACTCGCTTCGCGTGGCTTAAGATGGAACCCGTCATTACCGTTACCACTCTCTTAGAGTATTTTTAAGTTTATACACTCTCTAACCTTGAAGGATGGAAGATGGAATTGACTGGGCGCCTCTTTTATTATAAAATTATTATTAGTGAAGTGCCATTCGTCGCTTTCTCGAATGGAGTAAATATTTACATTCCGGTCATATTGCCTTAACAATTCTGTTACATGCCTGCACCAACTATAGGGTGGATCACCCACTTTAAGCTGCGTGACGATCTTTTAATAACTATTGTTGCTTTACGATTTGACGCCTTCGCCATTTGCGGTTACGGTTTGCTTTTCCATTTACTATACTTTCCATACTCTATACTGTAGCTTACTTAGATTTACCTGCGTAGGGTAACCATTTATTATAATTAATTCTGCGTATTCTGCTTAATTTCAAATTGATGTTTAGCCAACGTATCTACGATCGGAAAGCGAGGATAATTACGATTTAAGTGCCTTCTTAGAAGTTGGTGAACTATTCTCTATTCCAAGCGTTCGCAATTAATAATAATACGCATGCATGCATAAGATTGTAGATCAATTGGCACTTCCGCACTTGCTCTTTGCAAATCGTCTTCTAGCTGTAATTACTCCAAAATGTTCGTTTTCCCCGAATGTTATTTGTTGTGCGTATTCGAAATGCGTGCCCATCCAATCGAAATTTTTTGCATAATATTCCAATTTTTGTTGAGAAATTTTGGAAATTGCAATCTTTTTCATATGAGGTGGTGCCATATAGGAAATGGTCGTAAATGTGAGACGATTTAATATTTGAGCCAAATTTCATCGAAATATCTTAGAAACTATCGACTATGCATTAAACACAAAAATTCGAAGGGCAGACAGCGACGTTTAAGTGATTCTGAAAATGATTCTGAATCGATCGGTATAATAAACGACAACTCAATCCTAAGTCCTTCTGAATACTATATTCATCGATACAAAAACTGAACCACAGGCGGTGTAAGATATAAAACTTTACGCTGTAATCTGTAACACTTTTGAAAAGCTTTGATTTGGCTATGATTTTGGGGAAACAACTTTGGTTAATGGAACAACTAACAAGCCCATTTTCAAACATCATTTAATCGGAATATATCTCCTAGAGAATATTTGCGTATTTCAACATCAATTTCATTCGACGGATATTTAAATGGGATAAATGCGCCAAAATCAAATGTCCGCTTCCAGGTATAACGACTGCTTAACGTGGGCATAATAAGTGCATTACACATTACATAAAAATCAAATGACGGCATAACGCAATTCTTATAAAGTAGAGGCTTACGGTAAATTACATTTTCTCTTGTTCTAAACTTGATTCTGACTGTATTCTCTCGTTTCATTGAAAATCCTCAAACAAATTGAACATTAGTTGTTATTCTGATGTTTAATTGTTGTTTGATCAACAACATTAAGATACGCTTATTGCGGATTATGAAAATTTCCTATATGTAAGTGTGTGCGTAAACAAACCACTTGTAAGAACAAATATTAACCATTTAAATTAATAATAATAACAAGTTGTATAACATAAGGGTGATTATAGCTAATTGTCCTTAGTGTATATGCGTTAACATCTGGTCGGTCTGTGCTCATAAATTAATTCAAGGAATCTTATGTTTATAATATATATATATATATATATATATACCTAGACGTAACTACATATCCATTTATGTGTGTGTGTGTGTGTGTGTGTGTGTGTGTGTGTATCTTTTAATGATATCTTTCACAGGAATACAATGATAAAACTTGTCATTAAATTTAAACATCGGTATATACGTATGCAAATGTTTATAGATGAAATATAGTGTAACGCCAAATATTTATTTACAAATTGTGTACGTACCTTCAATCTCTTGAAATGGTAACAATTTCAAAAATGTTTTTCAAAAAAGTTTCACAAAATAAATTAGAAATTTAATTTACTGTCTTAACGCCTCACGTATACGAGGAGCATATGTTAGGATATTTTATTATAATAAAACCCAATATATGTTTCTCTCTCTAGATTTCCATTAAAAATATACGTAATATTTAACAAAAATTTTTTGTTTAAGTACATTAGCCATGCTAGCCCAGCAGTTTATATCCATACATTTTTTTAAATTTTTTTTCGTAATATTTTATTTGAATTTGTTCTCGTTTATAAAATAGCGTTCTCCCTTTCTGAATCCCACATCGAATGCTGCCCTAATCTTTAATAGCACCAATCACAACAACCATAACGTTAAACAGCAGCAGCCAGCATATAGTCAAAGTCATAGTCAAATTGTTAATAATCCTGCAACAACAGCTAGTCTTGGACAAAACTTTAGCAATATTCCATCAGTGTCTGCTTCCAACGCTCATTTAATAACATCAGCAACAATACAACCACATAACACCATGGGTCCTACAAATTTAAATGGTACTCAACAATCGGTATTACCACAACAACAGCAACAACAGCAGCAACAGCAATTGCAACAATTACCACAACAGCAACAGCATACGCAACAACAACAACAATCTCAGACACCACAATTGCATCTGCAACAGCAGCATCATCAACACCAACATCATTCATCAGATCAACATCATCATCCACCACAACAAGGCACAGAACAATTATCAAAAACTAATGTTTACATAAGAGGTCTACCGGAGGGTACGACCGATAAGGATTTAGTTATACTATGCTCAGAGTAAGTTCAAATTGTCTTCATTATATATGTATACATATATATATAAAAATTTTTGAGATATTTTGTCCGAAATTATAATTTATATTTGGATAATCCTGTAAAAATGGAAAAAAGGGAACTTAGCTTTTAAATGCCCACCATTCACCTAATTTGTGTACGATATATAATTGGACGATAGAATGAAACCGACTTTACATCAATATCGAAACGTACATCTTGTATGCTTCAAGATATACTTTTATGAATATCCCTATCGGTTATTTTGATCTTTCCAACATGGAAATTTTATTCAATGAAAAAGACGAATGCGCGTCTACAGGCATTAAATAATTTTATGTATTCGAATTTTTTTTTTTTTTTTTTTTTTTTTTTTTTTGACACAAAATTTAATAATAGCTTCCCTTATTTAGAATTACACTGACTGCATAACGTATCAGTTTGCGTGATTACATCTTTATTGCAAAAGACTGTAGTGAGCCCGGCTTCTCGCGCTAAGTGACCTGAAAGCAGTCATACAAAAATCTGAGTATCAGTTTAAGATAGATCGGAAGTTACTAGATTGTCCCATAAATCATCTCATACGATAATCTATCTATTCAAAATCGATAGGACCACTTTTCTTTCCTCTTCCTCATCAAATAGTTACTTGGGTACCCAAACTTTATCACTTTTCGATTTGATGGAGGCGTTTGCTTGCAAGGCGTTTTGCTTGCGCCACAAAGGAGGCAAACACAGCTATTCGGGTAGTTTAGTATGAATGTGTTCCGCTGAATGGGGGGCCGCTACCACTGAATATGTATTAAATATATTTTATATTCATAATAACATGATGCCTCGAAATATGTATCGCCGTGTATCCCAAAAAGAGTATATATACATACTAATCTAAGCTAAAATGGCATCGATACGGTTTTTTCTATCGGTCCGTCTATCATGACGTCCAATTGAAAATTCAAGTTAGAAGATCGCAATAGCTTTTCAAATTTTTCTACTCACTCTCATTGGAACCAGCTAATTAGGTTAATAAGTGCACTTTCTATTTATGAAAACTCTGATGATTTAGATCTATTTTTTCCCTATCATAGATACGAAATTGTAGAGAGATAAAATTTAAAGCCTCGAGTATTTGCATATTCAGTATTCATATCAAATATTGAAGGAATGTATGTTACACTCAAAGGCATAGATCAGAGATCTCAGTATAGTATATATACTCTCGATTAATGCAAGATTCAAAAATCGATTTCATCTGCATACAAGCCCTATATGCTTGTGTATTGAGAATATGCAATAAGCTGGCATTATACAGTCATAGGCAGAATGAGCAGAAGTCAAGTTTCAAGTGATTGTTTTAATTTAAAAAAAAAAAAAGAAGAAGATTATCGTTGTAAATTATTACCAGGAATACAAATGAAACGTATTATGTGCATATTTGCTTTTTTTTTTTCGTTATACAATTTCTTCGAAAACGATGACAAATGCAGTTTGAAATCTATACATAACGTACGATATGCATGACACGATAAATTATCGATATGTCTTGTCGCTTTATCTTGCTATCAAATATCGCACACGGATTAACAGCACAATAATGCATAAGTCCGCGTTTCAAAGTCGAAAATGTGCCAACAATTAGGTTATATATATATATATATATATAAAGTTAATTTATTCTTAGAAATCTTGCTCAAAAATGAACTTAGTGGGTCCACAAATAGGCCGGATTGGGATTGCCTAAAACGGTTATACATATAATATGAATATTTTTTTTTTTTTTTTGAAAAAAATTTACAGCCGACCGATGTATGTATGGCATAGCTCTGTGCAAGTTCGATGCGCAACTATATAAAATAGTTCGAACTCTTTTTGGGGTAATATTTTTATAAATATATTTAAATAACCTCTTGTATAATTATATATAATTTACAT